AAAGAGTGAGTGAATGAGTCTCAACTACAGCATCAGTAATTTCATGATAAAAAATACACGGTCATAGAGCCACATACTCCAAAATATGGTCTAAAGTTTAGTTCCATCACTAGAGACTGCAGAATCATTTTGTGATTTATATATTTTGCTCTACATTTTTAAAATATAAATGATGTTAGCAATGACCATAGATCAGTTTTACTTTAGTTTCTCTTCAAATTAAGTCACACTGATTAGCAGGGCAAGCTTAAGAATTCAGATATATGTTAAGGTACTTTCAGATATTTTTTAAGGTACTGTTTCAGGAATGTAAAACATGATTCATATTCCTCAAACTCTCAATTCCATCTTAATTTTTACTTTGTTTCCACACTAAAAACTTTGAATTTCTTCCCAATCAGTGAATTGTGTGTGTGGGGGGGGGGAGATGTATGTGTTTAATGTGTGGTTCCATGAATCTCTTTTTATTTTTTTAAGAGAGATTTTTGCTATAGGGCATGTGTCCTCACTGGAGAGACAGAGAGAGAGAGAGAGACAGAAAGTGAGATGTTACCCACCCCCAGGGGGGATGGCCACACCACAATCCCTTCTCCTCCATTTTCTGCTCAAAATTTTGGGCAACACACACACACAGATGCCCAATGATAAGTGATAAATGTTGGCGGGGTTGTGGTGAAAGGGAAACTCTCCTACACTTTTGGTGGGAATGTAAGTTGGTCCAGCCATGGTGGAAAACGATACAGAGGATCCTCAAAGATCTACAAATAGAACTACCATCTGACCCAGCAATTCCGCTCCTGAGTATCTACCCAAAGAACAGAAGAATACTCAGTCAGAAAAGTGCTTGCACATCAATGTTATTTGCAGCATTATTCACAATCGCTAAGTCATGGAACCAACCCAAATGTCCACAAACAGATGAATGGATTGAAAAAGTGTTGCACATATACTCTATGGAATACTATTCAGCATAAAAAACAACAAGACCCTGACCTTTGATAGAAAGTGTTTGAATATGGAAGATTTATTGCTGAGTGAAGTAAGCCAGGCTATGAAAGAAAGATATTTGTATGTATTTGCTTAATATATACCAACTCTCTACACTCTGTTGTAGAGATTTCATATGGAGCTGAAGACAGAGTGGAAGGGCAGGGAAAGGGAGGAAAGGGAAAGGGAAAGGAAGAGTATAGAGAAGGATAACAAGAGAATAAATAGAGAGGCATGACATTAGTGGGACACAGAAATGGTTTATTATCTGTTGATGAAAACATGTATAGTATTCTCAATGGGACTGGTCTGAGAAGTATATCATATTAGGTAAATTCTCTTTATAAGCCATATAATGTATAGCAATTGAATCTTTAAAAAAATAATGAGAATAAAAGGTAATAATTTAAAAAAAAACAAATAAAACATACATGTAGGGTTTAAAGCCACAAACGTAAAAAAAAAAGTCATGATTTTTATTATTATATTTCATTGATTATTATTATTTAATTTGTTATCAGGCACAAGCACTCACTAGAAAGAGAGAGAGAGAGAGCAAGCTGACAGGTCT